CCCCAGCAGGAAAACGGTGACGTCCCCTCTGATGCCAGGGGGTCCGGGTGTGCCGACAACAGTGTCCCCGCCAGAGCCCAAAGCAATCAGTGTGCCAACGGTGAACCGCTGGCCAGGGCCTTTCCTGCTGTTCCTGTTCCTGCCCCTGAGCGGGTCGGCCAGTGTACTGACGCCGCCCCAGAGGCCGCCCTTTGGCATGATCGCCAAAACGTCCCCGCTGAGACCAAGAAACCCAGGTGTGCCGACAATGGTGTTTATTTTTACGTTACTTCCTGTTTTTGTTTCACCTTAGTTTCGGTCTTTTTACGTTCTTCACTCACATTGGTTTCACCTGTTTCGTTATTGTTTGCACCTCTATTTAGGCAGCGTCCTCCCACCAGGACGCTGCCAGATTGTTCTAGACCCCAGCTCTGACTTTCCAGCATTTTCTTCGGTTTTGGTATTTTGTGTTTCTGATCCCGGACTGTTACCTTGGACTATTCTATTCTGCCTCACCCTCTTGTTACAGACTGCCACGGTGTATGATTAGCGGACTTTCCCTTTTGGACAATGAACTTTGGATTCCCCTGGATGTATGTGTCCATTTAACACTTTTCGGCAGCATCGCGCGCCGTTTCTGACATCTTCAGTCTGAGGAGTAGTCTTCAAACTTTTTCTGCTAGCTAAGCTAGTTGTGGACAGCCATAAATAAAACTCTTATATCACAAATCTATCAGACAATATTCATACCAAACAACGTTTTAAAAAGACAGTTATCACTTACCGGCGCGCTGCCCTACTCCGCCATCACTTCGAAAATCACAGGTGAAAACGTTCCCTCCTCTGTACTTTCCTTTGTTGTTCATTCGCGCCACAGCACTACAATAAACTTCCGCCTCTAGGGTCACATGACTGACCTGTGTTACCCGATTGGCCAGGGATCCGATCGATGGCATTGTCGCTCGATTGCTACTGCCCAGTGTCTCGGATGTTGTTTTGAATTTCTGCACCTGAATGTCACAGTCTGAATTATGAGTTGATTGAACTTTCTGGTTCTGAATAGTGCTTCTTGAAAGAAACGCATTGAATATATTTTTTGAAAATTAGACATGTACATTTTTATATTTGAATTATTTTAATAATATTGGTGTGGTTTGAAATCGAAATTATGTATTTTTCTAACTTGAAAATCTCTACTTGTAATTTCACCACGTAAAATTCAGAGTGCATTAATTCAGAATATAGAATTCAAAGTATATTTCAAAACCTATTATTCAGATGCTGATATAAATTCAAATCATTATGATGCCGTTTTGCTTCCATATTTAAAACCTATTATTCAGATGCTGATATAAATTCAAATCATTATGATGCCGTTTTGCTTCCATAGACCTGCAGCACAAGAAGCAACAAAATAAATAGCTAGGACCCACAAGCCCTGCATGTAGCCCTGGCTCTGGAGCTGTACATTTCTGATGAACAGTCACTGGCCACATCAGCCTGCCCTGTCCTGATGCTTTTATTTCTTTTCTCTGTCCTCTATCCACTCACTCCAACTGGTCAGACAGAAGGCCGCCCACCAGGAGCTGGGGTCTGACAGAAGTTTCTTTGGCTAAAGGGAGTTTTTCTTCTCTACTGTCGCTCAAGGGGAATTTGTTGGGTTGATTGAGATGATTGTTGTTATGAATTGGCACTACATAAGTAACACTGAACTGAACATTTTATTTTCATTTGTCATAAATGTTGTCCTAATTGGTGGAATAAATGCTCTAGAAGTGTCAATATATCAAATATGACTTCTACACTCCTTTTCTGAGAGGAGTTTTCTTTGTTCAGAGCTCATGATGTGTGAGAGAAACATGACGTCACCGTGAAGCCAAGTGTGGCACTGTACACCACCACCCACAAGGATGGAGAGAGAGAGAGAAATTTCAATTTCAATTTATTTTTCTAAATGTATCTTGTGTGGCTAATGAATGACCAAACTGATTGTACTGGCTGTATTTGATCTGAGTTTCACGTAAAGTAAAATAATCTTGTAATACTGTACGCTGTTTTTAAATGGTTATAAAACAAAACAGCTGAAGTCGTTTCTGTGTAAATTTGGTTAAAACACGATTGGCATTCCAGTGGTGAAATCAAATGGCTAACACGTAGACTACACAGACCACCCCACCCCACCCCAGCAAGCGCTTTCTCCGTTGCAATATTTCCGTGAGTACCTGAGGTGCACTCCACAAGGTGACCAGCAGGGGGCGACATCGGTCTGTCTGAACGCTCACGCCGCTTTTAAAAGCACCACTGAAACCTTTCAAAACAAGGAAGTCGCAGCTTGAGAAGCGAAGCGATTATCCGTGGAAACCCCCCCGAGCAGACATGGGCACCCTACAGCAACTGAACACTCTCATCTCTGAAGAGTTGGCTGCGGCGGCCGCGGAGATTTTCGGGGCGGTAGAGAAAACGCTGACAGGGTATCAGAGAGAAATGAGCCGATCCAAGCAAGAGATCGATCACCTGCGATCACTGCTGGTCTCCCTTGAGGTCAGATTACATAGATCAGGTGTGTGGAATAAATGATTTCACTCTCTGATAAAGACATAGCTCACACAATGAAGATGTAGCGCCCTTTCGTTTTGTAATTACTGCTCTCATTATTGCGCGTTTCTTACAGTGTAAGTGGCTTGTTTTGATTGGAGCACTTTTCTGATAGATGAGATCTGTTTTTGTTAAACTGTCTGGCATGTATTGACTGACATATGAATGTGAATTTGAGGCGGTTTGCATCCCATGCCCCTTCATGTTCTCTCCTTACTTTCAGCTGCTCATCAGGTCAGTCCTCACTGCTGTGATAAGGCCACGCCCCCTGAGCACCGCCATGAGGAGTACCAGGCCCCAGATGTGAGCCCGGAGCACCAGGCCCCAGATGTGAGCCCAGAGCACAGCAGCACCCTGCATGTTCAATGGAGGAATGATCAGCGAGGAGCGTCCTGTAGGCAGCAGTGTGCCACCAATGCATCTCCTCGGTTTCTGAAACAGGAAGGTCACAGAGAGCCGCCCTCATACCACTACAGAATATTAGAACAGACAGCAGCTATCAAAGGTGAGCCTGATGGTGATGGGTTTATAACATCTCCATCAACCAAGGAGGCTGAGATCCACTGTGCTAGAAATGCAGGGCCTTCTGGAATTCAGCAAGAAGCCCTGAAAGGTGAGGAGAGTTCTGGGTAAAACACTAAAAGCTGTAGTATTTGGACACTCTCTGCAGGTTTTTTTTTTTTTTTTTGTGATACAGACTTGAGAAAATCTGAATGACGAGAGATATTTGCCACTTGAGTATATTTATGTCTTCTTTGTAGAGTCACTTGAGGTCATTCATTGTGAGCAGGAGTGGCCTGATGAGCAGCAGCACACTAAACCAAACCGGTGCCCCTGTCAGGACCACAAGGACCTTGATCCCCCTCAGGTTAAAATGGAAAAGGCTACATCATCCAGTCCTAAGGAAGAAAATGACAATGAGTATGACCTCTCTCTTCAGTCAGAGAGGAGGAGTTATGCTGAGCCACATGCTTCCAGCCCCACCTATGACCAGACTCTGTGCAACACAACACTTCACACAGCAGAGGAAATGAGAAGAGACGCTGAAGGAGAAGGCTGCCGGCTGTCCAGACCGCCCGGAGTTCCTCAGCACTTCTACTTGGAAAATCCAGACTGTCAACCACCTCAAAGTGAATATGGTGAGGACACAGAGGGTGTGGCGAATGGACAGTCAGTTGATAAGGTGCACACACTTACAGGAATGAGGCAAAAGAAAAGGAAAAACTTCACATTGCACAGCCTGGAAAAGTTCAGTATTAGAGTGACTGAAGATGTAAATGATCTCACCAGGGAGAGGAGGCACACTTGTCCCATTTGTGCGAAATGTTTTAAAGAGTCAAGCCATTTGAAGGATCATGTGAGAATCCACACTGGCGAGAAGCCATACCAGTGTAAGGAGTGTGGTAAGAACTTCAGGCAGAGCGGAGCTTTGACTTTGCACATGAGAATCCACACAGGGGAACGACCGTACCAGTGCACAGACTGTGGTCGGCGCTTCAATCGAAAAGGCGACATGGAGACTCACAGGGTGACGCATACAGAGGAAAGACCCCATCTGTGCCTGGTGTGTGGGAAAAGCTTCAAAAGGAAGAGCAACCTAAACACACATTTAAAGATCCATGCAGAGGACACAGTGAATTACAATCAGCCGTTGTGATAGTTTAAACCATGGATGTCATGGAAAACAAGGCTAGTCATAGACTGTTGACTGCAGTGTACAGTTCAAACAATCTGTTTTATAGGAGACAGAGGCAAACATTTCTAAACTAATAGAAACTATTTTATTATCCCAGCAACAAAAACATACAGGGGATTTGTTTTTGTGCTTTTAACCTGATGGGGAGATGAATTCACCTCTGCAGATTTTAACATAATATTACATTGTATGAGACAGTGTAAATGTTAGTTTTGCAATTTTTGTAGTAGTTATTAAACTGTATATCCATTTTTACTCACATCACTTATGTGTGAGCATTTCAGTGGCGGAGAAACATTTAAGATAATGAACACCAGTAAAATGCACAAAAACGAAAATTAACCAAACTCAAATGGTCAAGTCATGTGTAAAACTGCTGCAAGCCAATTTAAGGATCAGCAATAAAGCAACATTAAAATTGAAAATAGCACAGTAAACTGGTTAACAGTGAAAAAGAAATGACATGTAATGTGAAAGTGTTGCTCACGTTTCACAAGACTAATACTTGAGAGTTCCTATAGGACATTTAAAGGGGGACATGGTGCTTTTGTGATTTTTTTCCCCCTTACTTGGTGGTGTGGTGTCAGACCACAGGCTGTATATAAATAGGGACGACACGTCCCTACTTCCCTCACTATGCAAAAGTGAAGCCAAAACATCGTCAATATGGCGGCTGCCATCTTGGCACTTTGCAACCAGATTCTGTGCCGTAGCGCCAGAGGAGATGAATGATTTATCAGACCTTCAATCCAATCCCGCTTCAAATAACGTATTAAAAAAAACGTACCAGAAAAATTACTTGTACACATATCGTGATAATATCTAGCAAACCACTGACATGACCTCTGGGAAAAATTGATTTGTACTTTTTAGTTTGGCTCATGTCCCATCCACTAACATGGAAGGGGTATGATTTGTATTGCAACCAGCCACTAGGGGGCGATTGTAGCTTCACTTCTGGGAGCTGCTGTGGCGGCCATATTTATGTATAGCCAGTGTGTCAGACATGCACATTAAATGTTGGCAGAGTTTGAAAACTTCAGGGGACCACTGAGAAAAATGCCAGTAAGGGGGAAAAAAAAACTCTGCTCCCCCACCGCTGTGATTGGCTTGTTTGAGATTAGCTCTGTACTTCCATCTCAGATTCTACTCTTTTTGTTTTATAGAATTTAACTTTACTGTCTCGTTTACACTCAGACCTGTTCCCAGATGCAGTGGGCAGCTGTTTTCAGCAACAAAGCTCTGATTAAACCCAATGTACAGCACCTGCTCAGTAGACAAAGTTGGCAAACAGCTGGTGAACAGTGGAGCATTTAGCAGCTGAAGAGCCACATACAGTATTTTCTTGAGGGTTGGAGCAGAACAGAGCTTGGAGAGTGGAAATGACACTTGTCCCTTATTTGTGCAGAAACATCCTTCCAAATAAATGCTGTTTCTCCTTATGCTAAGCAGCTGTTTGCTAAAACGTCAGCCAAATCAACTTTACATACTGTATATGGTGGTGTTGTGTTTATAGCTTGTGTTGTCTCAGGTGGCCAAATCAATTAATACAGGTTGGAATAAAGTTATATAAATAAAGCTACTATATCTTGGCAGCACAGCTGATTTGTACCCACACACCTCAGATATTTTGCTTAAGGAAAATCAGCATATCACTCACTGATAAAATACTAATTCACAAGAATGAATCGTTGTACAGAAATGCAATTTCAGAATGAGGTATATACCCCTTCTATAATTGGATTATAGTGACTGATGTATTAATGTGCTGGCTACAGTGCATCACTTCAAAAGGTAGTCCAAGTAACTTCAAAACAGTGCTGATTTATTCAAAGGATCACAGGCAAATCTAACATTACACGCTCAGGTATCATACACCTCCAAACTGCTCGCAGGCAGATGTAAAATGAAAGACCCTGAACCCACCAGGCCTATACATTATATCCCTTCGGTTGGGCTAGCCCCATACTACACAGAAACGTCAACCGAGACGTCTCTGTTGCCAGCTTTGCAGCTGGCCATAGCAGTAGTCAAAACATAAAGCAAATCAATAGTTCCCCAAGAATAACACCCCTCCTGTTTTCAGAGGTCAAACTCATGCAAACTTCCCCAGTACTGAGCTGCTACCCCCAGATCTGCAAACACAGATGCTGGAGTTACTCACACAGATAAAAACTTTGAGTCAAAGTATAATTTAACAATGAAAATGTCTTAAGAAACCTAACCCCAGAAGCTAAAATGCTACCTATAAGAAGTACCCCCCCACTCAATACAGTGCAGAACAGGAATAAAATGGTCAGAGTCAACAGGTTAAAAGGCACCATTAAATAAAACACCACAAATCAATTAATCACACATCAACCAAATATAAAAGGGCCTTGCCTCCCTGTGCATAAAACCCTTCACACCATAAAATTGACTAAACCCTATTTGGAAAAAATACAATAAATAGGGAACATAGCTAGGTAAACCTCTTAACATAAAACCAAACAAGGCAAAACATCACATAAGCAAAGCACTACGTAAGCTAAGCTAAGCAAAACAGCAGTGGCCATCACCCCTGCAACAAGTAAAGCCACTGTTAAGGAATAGCATAGAAACGGTCAAAACAATTAAAACCAACAATGCTACAGGTTACCTTGGTCACCCTAGCACAGCATATGCAATGGACGCAAACTTCTACTGGATCACGCTCGCATCAATTATCGCTCCTGGGCCCGGTTTTTCAAAAGTAATCCACTAGGATTTTGGATAACGGATTGGATCAAATTTTGAAAATGGGTTTTTCAAAAGAAGAAACGGATTACATAATCGGATTAGATCATGTAATCTAATCTTGGTTTTGATCCGGATCAAACCTTCATTTAGGGTTTTTCAGAACTTTTTTGTAGGATTTGGATCACTTTGAGCCAGAAAATCTGGATTAAACTGATCCCATCAGAAGGGTGGATTCAGCGTGGATTCCATGCCCAAAATGTTATGAAAACTTTAAAAATGTATCAAATAATACTATATTTGGATCATGCAGTATCATACAAGATATCCTATTTATTCATAAGGTTTTAATTTTATTTGTTCATCCGTAAGGCTACAGTGATTAGGTAGGCTTTAACGTATTCAGCCTTTCAGTATAGGCCTACAGCAAAGTAGACAGAGTTCGGCCTCATACAATAATCCCCCAAACAGCTGTCAAAATTGACAGAAAACAATAAATTGTATTCTGTCACTAATTGATATATATAGTCATCACAATCGAACTAATTTTGTTCTTAGAATATTTATTAGTGATGCATGCAATGATTACAGAATAACCCCTAAA